CCCGCTGCAGCGCGGCCTCATTTCCGTGCTTCCGCTTGTTCCGAATCGTGCTCCCGCTGCAACGCTGGCCTCATTTCCGCGCTTCCGCTCGTTTCGACTCGTGCTCCCGCTGCAGCGCTGGCGTCATTTCCCGTGCCATGCCACGGCATGCAATGCAATGATCAGTTGATACTGCGTTTTGCGGTGCTCTTCTACGCCATGCCACGCCGTGCTCTACAATGCATCGCGTACCCTTTCGGGATCGTTGCCCTGCTCGACACCCGACTGTGCGAGTAGAGAGGGGATCTGCGCCATGGTAAGGGATGGGAGGGAGGGGTAGGATGTCAGATATGACGCGAGCGCACCTAGCTTGTCCCCCTCCCCCTCCCCCTCCCCCTCCCCTCTCAAGCAATTTGGGCTCGAGCTTCTTTCAGGTCGCTCAGTCCAGTCCCACCGCCTCCACGGGGCGCTTGGGGGGCAATCGGTCTACCACACAGTCGTGGCGATCTGATTGGCGAAGAGTGGGAGAATCTACCATGGGCAAAACAAAGGCTGCAGCAGTTCAACAGCAGCCGCCGACACGTACCTGGTCCACTTGCCACAGCTGTCACCGGCATGAATGGAACGACGTGTTGCCGCAGAATTCTAACAAATGCACCAGGTGCTATCGCCAGGTGAAGATATATGTGCCGAAAACTAGAGGACCCGACAGCAGCCAGGGTGGCAAAGGGGGCGCAGGCTGATGTGGTGGAGCAGCAGGAGGCAATCACCTTCAGCAAGCAGTGGCCGCGCCCCCGCTGGAGGTTCTTACCCAGGCGCTCGGCGTCGCCAAGGACCCTCTCCTCGTGGCGGCTCTCACGGCGGCCATCCAGCAGCAGGCCACGCCCTCGGCACCTCCTCTGACAGCCGAGGAGGCAGTCAAACGGGCGGCCAGCGCATGGAGAGATGCCAACTACAAACATGATCAAGCAGTGCAACAAGTCAGCAGGTGCCGCGAAGCTTTATCGCGGGCCGAAGCTAGAGAAGCAGAGACTGTCAAGGTTCTCGCAGAGGCAGAGGTCGCCAGGAGGACGGCCGCCAAGTCCTTGGCGGCGCAGGCGGGCTTCACAGCCATCCCCGCCACCGAGTCCCAGGACCCGCCCAAAGATGGTAAGGCCAAGCTCGACATCGATTGGGACACCGATTTCTTCGAGAAGGTACGGTCCGGAGAATACGAGTGTGAGGGCAACGAGAAAGAGACCTTGCTCAAACTCCAGGCCGATTTTATGGCCACTAAGAAGGACCTCGCAGACAAGAGCGAGTCGATCACGAACTGGCGCAATCGGGTGAAGGCCATGCAGGAGGCTGTCGCCGCCCGTAACGCCAAGATGCGCAGAGCTGATGAAGATGGAGCCGCCGCAGAGGGCCCCCCAGCAGGTGCCGCGCCCACGGCAGCGGCAGCGGCGCCAGCGGCCGCGGAGCCCAGCGCCGCGAGGCCCGTGGCGACGGCGCCCGCCGCCCCAGGCGATGCAGGTGCCACCGCCCGCCAACGCAACGAGGCGGTCGAGGCGGAGGTGCAGCGCATCAGGCGGGCCAAGGAGGCGGCGGTGGCGGCGGCGGCGCAGGCCGCCCAGGCCGCGGCCAGCGCCGTGTTGGGCTCGGCGGCCAGCGGCCAGGGAGCTGCGGCGGCGCCTGCGGCGCCTGCGGCTTCGGCGTGATCCGAGCAAGGGGCCGCGTGCCCCAGGGGCAGCAAGTTTCTACTCCGTCGAGCTCGGTTTCGACAGCAGTGCCGAGTTCACGCGGCACATCCTCTTCCTCGACGGGATCTCAGGTGCGCGAGGACAGAGCTTCATCAGGGGAGGCTCAGACTTCATTGCCGACACCTGGTCGTTCGAGGAGATCGCCAGTTGATTCAAGCGGGGAGCCAATGCCAGCGGCCACGCATATTTTCTTTAGCAATGTCACGTTTCTCGGGAGGAAAAGCGTGGGACTACATTTGTCATATTCACGCATCCCACACTTTTCAGAATTTTGCGCTTTGTGAGACTCACATAGGAGAGAGCTCTGTTGCAGACTGGCAGAGGAAAGCTCGCCTCGCCAGATTTCGTTGCCTGGTGAACGCGGCTATACCCCACTAGGCGCCGCTGTCTCGCAGCCTCGGGTCAATTGCGTGCGACGGAAGGTGGCGAGATCTTTCTCTCCGAGGGCCATCGGCAAACGCGCGCCTTGTCTCAGCACAGCAGTGAATTGTCCCAGTTATGCTCAGAAGGTAGGAGTATGATCGACGGATTTCTTCCTGTAGTTCTGAGGCAGCAAGGGCACAGCATAGTTGTTTTCACTTTCTACGGGCGCCACCTCCCAAGGGTACGCGGGTCAAAACCTCGAGCGTCTGGCCAAGTTAGGGTCCATTATGCAGGCCCTCTCTCTCCCTTGGGTGGTGCTCGGCGATTTTAGCATTCCTTCGTCTGAACTTTCGTCGGGGGCCTCTGGGGGCTTTGTTGGAAAGATTGGAGCGTCTGTGCTCGAAGCCCCCATCGAGCACACGTGCGTCAGTAAGAGTGGAGCTTCTCACATTAATTATATACTGGCTTCGCCATCAGCCATTCCGTGCATATTAGGAGTGCAGGCGATTCTAGATGCGCCGTGGAAGCTCCACTGCGCAACCGTGCTTCAGCTCAGGAGTTCAGGCGAGCAACTGATCACTCGCTCACTTTTGCTCCCAGAGAGACTGCCCCAGGTAGGCCGGCCACAGGCGCAGGCTTTGAGTGGGCCCAGGTCGCAGGCGCGGTCAAAACAGATCGCCCACCAGGCCTTAGGTAGGGAAAAACATATTTCCATCGTTTCAGAGTTGTTTGGAGACATCCTCGATCCTGCCTCACCCGAGGCTGGCCGCAGTGTCCCTCAGCCTGCTCTCGGTGCTGATCCATGCAGCATTCCTCTGATGCCAGACGATCCCGAGATGTTGTCAGGCTGTCATTTCGATTTCTACGAAGATGAGGTGGGCCCGTGGGCTGGTGAGTCTAGTTTCGTCGGGCCCACGGCTCCCTCCTCGCATTCCCTTTCCTCTTCTTCTGCTTCCCCCTCTCTCGTCGCAGGAGGTGCTCAGGTGAATCTACCAGCCACAGCGAATCCATATTTCGTTACAGCTGTAGATGACAACAAGGACCCCCCCAGCGAGAGAGCTCCCCAGTTTAACGAGGCCCCTACCCCATCCAACTCCACTGCTCCTGCGGGTGCTCCTGCTTTCGCTCTCCCTTCCGATCCGTGGAACTTGGCTCGAGCTCAGGCGGGGTTTCAGGCGCGAGTTCCTTCCCAGGTCTGGGAGGCAGCAAGGGCATCCCTCGCATTCTTAGTTGGAGGCCCACGCATCCTCCACGTCAGCAGTGCATATGCAGCATGGATCAGCAGCGTCGAGCACGCGTGCCGTACCCGCCATGACCTAGGGCCGTCGGACAAGCCGACTCGTGCTCAGGGTCCCTCGTTAGTCACACACACAGGGTACGGCAGAGTGAGCATTATAGAGATATGGCGCTGCAGGACGTTTCGGCCAACTGGTGGGAACGTGTGCAGGTGGTGTTGCACAAGCTGGCTCAGCACACACGACGGGCGAACGGGCGCAGCCAGTCAGAGGCTCTCGCCGTGGCAGGGGCCAAGCTTGCAGGGCAGCCGCCAGGCTGCGCATGCAAGTCCGTAGGCAGATCACCGGGCGCCACCACATGGACATCCTGGCTCACAGTTTTGCTCGAGCTCAGGGACATCACCTACCAGCAGCTGGACGTATACGCAGCTGAAGCTAAACGAGTTGCCCAACGGGCTCACAGTCATGCAGTTTCGGCCTCCTTGGCGGAGTTCAAAGATTGGATAGGTAAGCAGGAGCATTCTGGACTCACCTTTCGAGCTACCAAAGAGTCTCCTCTCGCAGTTGTTGAGTTGCCTACCTCGGCCAGTTCATCAGACCAGGGCGTCATTTTCCAGCCCAAGGACGTAGTCGACCACAAGGCAGCTCATTGGCATACCTTGTGGACGTCCCGCGCCAAGCAGACATTGCCAGGGGTTCAAGAGCTCTTCGACCGTATTCGGTGGCGTGCAGCATCTGAGCCACTGACACCTCTTACAGCAGGCGATATTCGTGCGGCAGTTCGACGAATGCGACCTCGGGCTGGTCAAGGGGTCGATCGGCTATCGCCGGTCTGCCTCGAAAGGTTACCACAGCAGGCGCTCGATGAATTGGCGGTCATTTGTGCCATGTGTGAACAATGCCAGACGTGGCCCTGGCAACTTCTGCCAGTGCTAGGGCGTCTCTTGCCCAAGAAAAGCTCTGGCAACCGCGTGATCGGGCTCATCTGCATGATTTGGAGGATATGGTCTTTATCACGGGAACCCCTCATTCGAGAATGGGCCAGTGCTGGGCAGCCCGACTGGGGGGCCGCCGTCGCAGGCAACTCAGCCTTGCGCGAGGCTTACCTTCGGGCGCTCGACGAGGAGCTTTTTACCAAGATGAAGGCCTCCCACGGACACCCATTACTAGACATACAATCGTTTAACGATGAAATGGAGTGGTCGGTGCTTGTGGGCGGAGCTCTCAAATGCGGTCCCCCTTCTGTTATGTTAGGCCTCGAGCTCCAAACTTGTTCGGGTCCTCGTCTTTTGGACCAGGGCGACGCTGTTTCGTGCCCGTTTCAATGTGCGAGAAGTATCATTCAAGGACTCAGGAGCGGTACGAGGTTCGCCAAAGTGGTCACCAACATGGTGATGGCACGCCTCACAGTGTGCCACCCTCGGCTGTCGGAGCGACTCTGGATAGATGGTCTCTCACAGACGGCCGTGGGGTCAAGGGCTTCGGTTTGCAACGGTTTAGTGGAAAGTATTACTTGCACGAGTGACCTCATGGACGAGTATTCGCTCAGACTTGCGAAGAAAAGCACCATCACTTGTTCTGGCATGAGGGGTGCTCGGAGAATCCAGAGGAGGTTGCAAGCTCGTGGTATTTCAATCATCGCAGCTCCTCATATCTCATATCTCGGTGTAGCTTTAGCCAGTGGAAAGAGACACGGGAGAGGTACACGTCAGAAGCGTTTTTGTCACGACTCTCAAGCAACACAACAAAGTCCGTCGGTATGCTTTTGCATCCAAGAGGTTCAGAGTTCTGCAGAAGGTGGAGCTCGCTGGACCTCAGGCAGGAGCTCGGTACGGGCATCAAGTACATGGACTTCCTTCGACTTCGCTGACCCACCTACGTCGGCGGCTAGGCGCCGTCACAGGAGGGCATAGGCGAGGTCGTTGCCTTACTACCTTGCTAGACATTCGAGCCCCAGGAGCCGACCCTGGGTATGCTTTGCCCCGCCAATGCCTGGCCGAATGGCTACGAGTATGGTTGGATGTTCCGCGGGCTCGGGCTCCGATCTCGAAGGTCTGGGGTGCCACGGTCTCTTTCTTCCAGCAGTGTGAACCTCGCCACCGAGCGAGGCGCGTTCGGGGTCCCCTCACGGCGGTGATCCACTACCTCATCGATGCAGGCTGGGACATCCCAGAGCCGTCGTTGTGGTACCAGGCCGCAGATGCAGAGGGCCACCAGGGCGGGTGGAACTTCGCAGGCTCCGACTTCCAAGCTCAAGAGCAGGCCGTTGAACTTCTCGATGCATTCACCAGGTCAATTCTTCACGCTTCGCGTATCCCCACCAGCCCATCTCAAAACAGCAACTCTTGCGAAGCATGCCGGCAGTCGTGTTTTTCAGGCGGGTTTCCGCCTGCCCCCGCATATCTACCCTGTTCCTCCTTCCCCCCGCCTCCTTGTGCATCCTCCTTGTGGTGGGGGCGGGGGAAGGGCGAGGCGGAGGAGGAGGGAGAGAAAGCGCTCCTCGTGGTTTGAGTCGTTTGGGGTTTCTCGTCCTGGTGTGAGTCGTTCGGGCCCTTCTTCCTGGTGTGAGTCGTTCGGGCTCTTCGTGGTGTGAGTCGTTCGGGCCCCTCCTCCTGGTGTGAGTCGTTCGGGCTCCTCGTGGTGTGAGTCGTTCGGGGCCCTCGTCGTGGTGTGAGTCGTTCGGGCTCCTCGTTGTGTGAGTCGTTCGGGCGCCTCGTCCTGGTGTGAGTCGTTCGGGCCCCTCCTTCTGGTGTGAGTCGTTCGGGCTCTTGGTGGTGTGAGTCGTTCGGCCTCTTGGGGGCCTTTTGGGGCGTCTTGGGGGCCTCTTGGCGGCCCCAGGGGCTTGTGGGAGCGTCTTGGGTGCCTTGGGGGAGCCTCTTCGGGCCTCTTGGGAGCCTCTCGGAGGCCGTTTGGGGCGTCTTGGGGGCCTCTTGGCGGCCCCAGGGGCTTCCAGGAGCGTCTTGGGTGCCTCGGGGGAGCCTCTTGGGGCCTCTTGGGGGCTTCTCGGGAGCATATTGGGGGCCTCTTGGAGGCCTCTTGGGGCCTCTTGGGGCTCTTTGGGAGGGGTCTGGGAGGTAGCGTGGGGCCGTCTTTCGGCCGATCGATCACAGCTGGGGCGACCATTTTTCTGCCCCCCCCGTCGGGGCCAGAATCCTCGTGAGGGGTGTCGAATTGTAGCTCTCCCAGGAATCGAAAAATACCACCCCAACCACCCGCGGGGCGCCCTCTCCAGGCCCAGGGGGAGGGGGTAGGGGGGGGGGTAAACCCCTCTCCGAAGGGGAAGAAGGGGGGTTGAGAACAGAGAGAGCTCCCTAAACCACTCACGCCCAAAGGGCTGGTGGGATTCAACGGAAGCAGCGGCAGCAGGCAGCAACATCTACTTTTTGTGGAGGTGGCGTGGAGGCAGGAGTCGACAACTTCAGCCTCAGGAAGCAGTTTTTCCAGAGATCGGGCTCACGTTGGCGCATCTTTTACCTGCGATCACGGTCGGCGGGGCGTGGGCGGCGTCTCGGAAGGCCGACGCAGGATCTGATATTCCATTGCAGTGTCCACGCTGCGAGGAGGGGCCAGAGACACCCAAGCATCGTTTCTGGAGCTGCCGATGTAACCAAGGGTCGGCAGCCTTTGATTTGCCCCAGGAGTTATGCCACAACGCGCTAACCCAAGGTGGCAGTATGGAATGTTATTGGCATCGAGGGCCCATACCCTCCCACCTCACGGCTGTGGGCCCGCCCACGCAAGAGGAGAACTGGACAGTCAGTCACAGCGACGACCTGGATCAGAGTTTTTTTTTGTTTGGCGAAGGCGACGGAGTCTACGCCCATTGTGATCCATGGTTATGCTTCGGGCGGCAGTGATACACAGGATCCTCGACTTCGCCGGGTAGGGTTAGCAGTATCAGCAGTCGGCGAGCTCCCTGGACCAGATTCGCGTTTTGTTTTTGGACCACTGCCAGGAGTGAGGCAAACCGTCCCTAGGGGCGAACTGCTGGCGTTCCTCCTGGGTGTGAGGTGGTCGGCAGGATTCATGACATTCGTCACGGACAATGAGGAGGTGTGTCGAGGCTGGTGGGAACGACTGTACATCGCCCCACACGGCGCGAACTCAGATCTGTGGCGAGAAGTGGGGCAGACGCTCAAGCAACAAAGACGGGAACCGTATCACATCGCCGTCAGCAAAGTCCC